AACCAGCAGCAGAAATACAAAGCAGTTGTGTGCTGAATGGGTATATTGTTAATGTTGTTCAGAGATGTAATATGATGACTACCCTTTGTGCACCAACTTTTTTGTTGTATCTTTTTGTTGAGACCTGGTCTTCCCATGTAGTCCAGACTAGCCTCAAATTCACTACATACATTTGATTTAGCTTTTCTTTCTTTTTCAAGGTCCACAGATTTTAAAAGTTGAAGAACTCAGTTATTCTCAGCCTTACTCTTTCCGTCGCGTGTTTTAAAAATGTGTGTTGTTTTGATTTTACATAGATATATGACTTTCTTGTTGTTTTGTTTTTGAGACAGGGTCTCCCTGTAGCCCCAGGTGACCTGGAACTCACTATGTGACCAGGCTGGCCTCAGTCTCTCAAAAATTTGCCTGCCTCTGCCTCCTGAGTGCTGAGACTCATGCACCACCATGCCTGACTTTTGATTTGTATTTTTATAGAAAGGTTTACATTATATGCAGTTTAAATGCAAATACCAAGTATTAAACTTGTTAGTATTTTGTAAATTAAGATGATAACTTCATTATCTTAATAAACTTTATGATCTTATTTCAAATTTATGATATCTTAAACTTGTACTTATTTTCAAAAGATACTTTTATAACAAACAGAAAAATTTTAAACTGAATTGTTGAGAAATTTTAAAAATTTCCTTGCAAACTAATACATTGAAAGCAGTAGTTTTTGTGGACTTGTATTTCAAATGTGCTGTGTCTGTAGTGTGTAGTATTTGAGAGGGGCTGGTACAAGTGAAAACAGTCTGTTAAATTCTGTTTACATTAACGTAATTGTAATAACATTTACATTTAGTTATTCTCTATCTGCATGTATTTATACTAAGTAGGTGCATCCATTTACCAGATAGTTGCTGGTTCCTGCAGTGTTCAAGACTTACCGACAGTTGTGTAGTGTGAGTGGCACAACCTTTACTCTCCCAGCACTTAGAAAGCAGAGGCAGGTGGATCCCTGTGTGATCGAGGCCAGCCTGGACTACATACATGTTGCAGGCCAGCTGGGGCTACAGGGAGACCCTGTCTCAAACAAGAAAAAAACAATCATCTGCTACTGTGAGGAAAGTGAGTCCTAAGAGGAGCAGTAACAGCAGGGACGCCTGGACACAGGTTGCCTCAGACCAGAGAGTTCCCTGGACCAGGGGTGTCTGCATCTATATCGGCATATGATCTACAGGACAACTAAGGGGTTGGATTCATGGTATTTTTGAAAATACACAGTGGTGTAAGACTTAAGTTATTAAGTGCCTACGTAAATTTTCTTTGTAAGACATTTTAGGATGTCATGTTAAGTGTATATTGTAACTATCTTATTTAATATTGTTTTTATTTTTTATGTGTATGAGTATTTTGCCTGCATGTATGTAAGTACACTTATGCCTGCGGAGGTCAGAAATGGGTGTCGGATTCCCCTGGATCCTGTAACTAGAGTTACAGACGGTTGTTAGCTGCCATGTGGGTGCTGGGAACTGAACCAAGTTCTCTGAAAGAGCAGTCAGTGCTCCTAACCGCCGAGACATCTCTCCTGCCTCATAACTATCTTTTTTCAAGTCAGCTTTATTTCTTTAAAATCACTTACCATCCATGGCATTGTTGTGTCACAGGCTATGCATTAGTATTCTTCAAAATAAACACTGCAGTCACTGTCCAGAAGGAATGTACTGTCTTATTTTATCACCAGAAGTGTCTCAATTCTTTCTGCATTTCATTCTTGTCGACAGAGTACATTTTATTACACTGTTTCACAGATTAAAAAAAAAAACAAAAAAAACTACTTTGACTGGTAGTGAGGAGGCTATATGGAGTGGAGTCACTTCCCTTCATTTATTTTATTGTGCAGAGTGGATTTAAATGACTTTATTTTGACCCTTATTAGTTTCCTGGGGATATTAGCAACTTAATTTACTACCTAGTATGCCTTCTTGGAAAGTCAGGAAATAATACCTATTTAAAATGTAAGTATTGGTGCTTTTCTTTGTTCCATCCTTAAGTATTTTTGGTTGTAGAATCTATTATTAAATTGGCTGGACTTTGGTAATGCATACTTTGACAGTATGATTACTTTTAAGTAAGGGAATAAATAGTAAGTTTTTTAAATACTTGATATTTTGGAGATTATTTTACTGGTTTACCACAGAGTTGGTGGGTTTTCCTTTGTGGGTCTTTGTCACGTCATCTCTGGGACCCTGTTCAGGTTGTCTCTGAGTCATTCAAACATGCAGAAGCTGGGCCTGGCTCTTGGGCCATACTGAGCAGTGGGCAAGACAGAGCCTGGCCTTCAGGGATGTGTGTTGAACCTTTGTTGGGCTCTCGGGGACAATGCCACATTGATGCAGAGTTTTGTTTTGTCTTTTCCCTACTTTTTTATGTCTGTTTTTTCTTGTGGCCAACCTGCAATTGGCACACAATAATTTTAAAATTAATGTGTGTACGTGTGGGGGAGGTGCATGCATGCCATGGTGTGTGTGTGTGTGTGTGTGTGTGTGTGTGTGTGTGTGTGTGTGTAAGGAGAAGGACCATGTGGGGACATTCTCTCCCCCCCGTGTGTGGCAGTGGGGACAGACAGAGCTCAGGTGGTCAGGCTTGTCAGCAGGGGCCTAACCTGCTGAGCTAGCTCTGCAGCCCTAAGTATCATTTGTGTTCTGCTTGCTTTCTGCTTTCTTTCCAAACCTGTCAGTTCTTTCCAGATCACACTTTTATTTAGCACTTTTGATCAACTTTAGTTTTTTGCCAAGTTGCCTGTATTTATGTAACTTATGTAACTAGTTGTGCTTCCGAGGATAAGGACTTTAGTTAGATTAACTTCGTAGTGACTGAATTTTCAGTGTAAACCCATTGTTTCTAATGAGCAGTATTGTTTATGAGTAGATTGTGGATTGCTCTTCCTGGCAACTGAATGTGGCTTAGAACTTTGCTGTTTATTTAGGGTCAAGGAAGGGTAAGACAGGAATCAGAGTGCTTTCCTAGGTCCATGGTCCCTTCAGTGGAGGGGTCATCACGGAAACATGAAATAGTAACAGAGACTGCTAATGCTCCATGTTATGTAAACATGTTAGTATTTGAAAGTTTTGTTAACTGGTGGTGTGAGGGTACACATCTGTATTCCCAGCATATGGGAGGTAGAGGCAAGAGGGTCAGGAGTTAAAAGTTTTCCTTGACTACATAGAGATCTCAGGGCCAGCCTGGGCTAAACAAGACATTATCTGAAAAGGAAAAGGAAAAGGTTTTTGTAGGTGGGGCTTTACTGAGGTACATCCTGGAGGCATTGTGTACGGGCAGATAATGAGGAATCTTGCAGCCATGCCTTACATTTTCAGTAGGTTTGCTCGGCTCTAGAAACTGTACTTGTTATTTTTATTTATTTTTTATTTTATTTTTTGGCTTTTTTGAGACAGGGTCTCCTTGAGGACCAACTGGCCTGGAACTCTCTGTAGACCAGTCTGGCCTACAGAGATTTACCGGCCTCTGCCTCCTGAGTGCTGGGATTAAATGTGTGTGCCAGTATGCCCAGCAAGCTGTTGAATTTTATTTGAAAAGTAAGGAAACCATACTTCAGTTAGTACTGACTGGTAAGAACGTGGACTGTGGGGTGGCAGTGTTGAGGAAAGGCTTCTGACCAGGTTCCTGTGCTCTGAGACCCGGCAGTGGACTGACTGAGAAGATACCCGACTTTGCTTTTTCATTATTCTTCCAAAACACACACAGTTTATAACTTATAGTGGTTCTTTGAAAGAATTGATTGGCTAGACAACTTGGAAAATATGATCTACTTTAAGAGATAAACAGGAGATCAAGTCTAATATTAGAGTGTTTAGAATTGAAAGCCAATGGGCTGGGGTGTAGTTCAATGGCGGAGCTTATGCTTAGCCTCGATTTGATCTCCAGCATCAAGAAAACAAAAGCTAAAGAAAGACATACATGTAATGGAACATGTAGTACGAAAGAGAGACACACAAGAGCTGAATCTGTTAAATTATCTCATCATGGAAGAGGGGACAGAAAGATTGTAAGAGCCAGAGATGGTAGATAACCAAGGAAATAGTGTTTTCCAGACAACAGGTGCATGCACATAGGAACTCACAGCAACTGTGATAGCATGCACAAGCCAGACAAACTCAGGAGGAAGGGAGCATGAAGTTCCACCCTTAGCCTGGGAGCTCTTGACATATGATAGCTACTTGGAGAGGAAAAGTCCTGACAGTATTGTGTTACCATCAGCACTATCTGCACTTAGAGTTCTTTTCACTCCATGCTCTAGTGTTCCTTCCCTCAGCCCAAGGACATTTGTGTTTGTATGAATTTTCCTGTTCTAGATGTCTCCATATACACGAAAGTATATATGTGTTTAACATCTGACTTATATTACTTAGCATATGTATTCAAGATTTGTCTGTGTTGTAGCATGTATCAGAATATTGTTAATCCATGACTTAACCATATTCAGTTGAATGTACATAACTACATTTTCATTATCCATTTGTCTGTTCACGGGCACTTAGGCTGTTTCTATGTCTTAGCTGTGGCCCAAGTATCTTTAGTCTCTGTTTTTATTTCTGGTTACATGTATACCTAGGAATTGAATTGCTGGATCTTATGATTTGACTACAGTAACTTTTCAAAGAACTGCCAAGCTAGTTTCTATGGTGCTTGTACCATTTAACCTTCCCAGTAGCACTGCAGAAGAATCTGGATGGTCCACCTCCTCCTCAGTGCGCACACTTGTTACTTAGCAGTGGCCATCCTAATGGTGCTAATGGTGTGTCGGGGTTTGCATTCCCTAGTGACCGAGGGCCTCTTTTTGTGCTTACTGGCCGTTTGTCTGTCTTTGAAGGAATACCTAAAGTGTGCTTTGCCTGTTTTGAATGGGATCATCTGTCTGTCTGTTGCTGAGTTTTATATATATATACCTTTTAAAAGATGCACTGTAATAATTCAGACTGTTTCTACCTTCTCAGGATTCCTACAGGAAACAAGTAGTAATTGATGGAGAAACCTGTCTCTTGGATATTCTCGACACAGCAGGTCAAGAGGAGTACAGTGCAATGAGGGACCAGTACATGAGAACTGGGGAGGGCTTTCTTTGTGTATTTGCCATAAATAATACTAAATCATTTGAAGATATTCACCATTATAGGTGGGTTTAAGTTGGTTGTGATAAATTGGCATTAAGAAGTAACTGTAGCTTTCATTTATTATTCTTTGCTAAGTGCTGTGTCTGCATGATCTAATTTAAATTTTAAAATAATTTTGGTAAGTAGGTAGTATTCCCATTTTACAGATGAAAGTCTTGGAATTTAGCAGTTGTGTGGCTTGTTCTAGATTGCACACATAGCAGCAGCTGGGGTGAGACCCAGGTCTGCTAACTTCAGAACCGTTTGTGCTCTACCCACCCCACACTGGAGAAACACGACTTTTTCATATAGGACACAGCATCTTTTTAGATACATTATAAAAATACAAACTAGAGACAAAAATAAGAAAAGATGATTTGAGATGGTGATAGTTAAATGGTCTTAAAATAATCACGTTTATTATAGAATTCTTAGATTGGATAAACAATGGCCTTGTTTTTTTATATTTTATGCGTATGAGTATACTGCCTGCATGTATGTAAATACCCATGTCATGCAGTACCCACAGAGGCCAAAAGAGGGCATTGGTGCCCCCGGAACCAGAGTTACAGATACCTGTTAGCTGCCATGTGAGTGTTAGGAAGCAGTCAGTGCTCTTAACTGCTGAGCATCTCTCCAGCCCCCTAAGCAACGGTCCTTTTATATCAGATGATGTAAGAGTGAAGAATTAGAGATTTTTATTTTAAGAATCTGGCAAATCTATATAAGGGCACTTAGTCATTATATTGACTAGATATCACCCTTAGGGTTTATAGTTTCCTTTACAATGCCAAGTATTCTGCTCACTGGCTCTGTCATGTAACAATGAGTTAGTCTGGTCAAGGAGGGCAGCGTCTTAGTTAAGAGCAGTTAACAGCATGTTGACTCTAGGAACAGAGGGAAAGAAATTTGGTTATATGATAATAGTTGTGTTTTTCTATAGTAGTGCATAGGTGAAATTTGTTAACATAGAGCAACTGGTTATACGAACCAGTTCTTCTGTGCTTCCAAGCAGCATCTTAGAAATACACATAGATTGTAAAGGAATAGAAATTTTATCCCAAATTTAGAATTTATTTACATGTTACATTGACAAGCAACATTTAAGAAGAATTTTTAACAGAATACACAGTACAGTTCCTTTAGCATTCCTCATTCAAAATCAGTCTTTCCAACTCTTCTGAGAAAGTATAGGGGGCCCCCCACTGCCCCCCATGTCCCCTTTCCTGTGGTTTTGTTTTTGACATTTCTGTTAAGCTTGCCTACGTGAAAATACTAAATGGGAAATTTCAGAAGTAAACCATTGCTAAGTTTTAAATTGCTTTTTTTTACAGACTGTTAGAATTTTTGTTTGATTAATCTATTACTACACCATTTTGAATGGTATTATTGATATGTGTAGATGGGAGAAAACAGTGCATGTAGTTTGGTACTATCCCGTTTTAAACGTCCACTGGGGTCCTCAGAATATTTGTCTGCAGATGGTGAGAAGTGGTCCTCTGAAATGTGGACGTTAGGTTAATGCTCTTGAATTTTTTTTTTTTGGAGACAGGGTTTCCCTGTAGCCCCAGCTGGCCTGGAACTCACTATGTAGACCAGGGTGGCCTCAAACTCACAGAGATCTGCCTGCCTTTGCCTCCCAAGTGCTGGGATTAAAGGGGTGTGCCACCACATGGGCGGGTAAAAATATTTTTAATTATATATGAACACATTTAACTATATGTATGTGTATATTTTGTTTTTTAAGGCAATTTAAAATTAGGCATAGCACTTTTGGTTTAAAATGTTTCATTCTATTCTTGTGTATGTGCATGTGAATGAGCCCTTTCTGTTGTAGATTGTAGAGGTATTTGCTCTTTTAAGAGATATGTAAGATTTCTATCTTAGAGAAAAGAATCACTAAAGGAAAAAAGTCATTAAAGGAAAATTCAGCACGGTGGAACTCACCCAGGAAAATGTAAGACAAAAAATGTTGAGGGTGATTTCCGAAGGGTTTTTATGTTACTGAAGCTTCTGTTACAACTTTGTTTCTTCCTTCCCCAGAGAACAAATTAAAAGAGTAAAAGACTCTGAAGATGTACCTATGGTCCTAGTAGGAAATAAATGTGATTTGCCTTCTAGAACAGTAGACAAAACACAGGCTCAGGACTTAGCGAGAAGTTATGGAATTCCTTTTATTGAAACCTCAGCAAAGACCAGACAGGTAAGTAAAATGAGAATAAATGGAAATCTGTTTTCTGCAAAAGATCTTAATCAGTAATCCTGATTTTCTAGTGGCATCATTTTGGGGGCCTGTGTGCTAGCATAGCTGGACCAAATGTTAAATCATTTAGTGTGCTTTATCGCTGTCTGTCATCCTTAGACAGTGTTCCTCTGGCAGCATCTTCCTTCCTTGAGTGAACCAGTGCCTCTTACGCAGGGTCTGTGCTACTTTTGGCTTTGTTTTTTTTTCGGTGGGTGGCAGTGGGCTTGAACAGGGTCTTCCTCTGTCCCAGGCTAGGCTTGAGCTCTCCTGCCCACTGAGGCTTCCACACGCTGGAGTTACAGGCTGACTTGACTCCCCCTCTCCTGATGTTTTCTTTTCACATTGAAAAGTTTTCTTCAGCCTCGAGTAGTACAGCTTACATTTAAGAGTTAAGAAATGTATTTTTTTTCCTACTTAATATACTAACAACAAAGAACAGTAGGACAATTTTGAGTTTCCTGCATTAAATTTTGTTGTAGTTGAAGAATTATACTTTGGCAGAGTTTTCTGAGAATGTATTTTTGGAGAAAGTTGTGATTAAAGCAAGAGAGTATCTGGAGAGTGAATAGAAACTCTCAGGCTGTTTTCTTACTACAGTGTTCTGATAAAAATTTATGTCAATTAGAACCTGAATTTTGTACCAAAATCCATCTTCATCTAAAAAGTAACTAACTTCAGTTAATAATTATATAATTTATTTCTATGCCATAACAGTTTACGACACAGGAAAAAGGATCCTAGAAAGGAACACGCAAAGATAAGATGAAGCACAGCTTTCGTACGCTGAGGAGTTAAATTAGTTTGTACTCCGTGAGTGTTTGGGGCTTTTCTGTAAATAAGTACCTGGGAGCCCCCAAAAATGATTTTTGTGAAGTTTAACTGTAATGAGTTTTTAAAAATTAAGAAACAACTCATCTCATGGCTATAAATGGATAAGAACAGGCATTCTAGAAGTTTTACTGAATTTTGTAAAGGGTGTAAACATTTTAGCAAATGTTCAGCTAGTGCACAGATGTGTGTGTGTGTGCGTGTGCGTGTGTGTGACTTCTCTAGCACATCCTATGTCCTCCATTCTGTTTGAAATCTTCCATTTGGAATTTAAAATGAATCTCTGTAGTTTATAATACAAACGTCCGCTGTAGCAGTTTTGTTCATTCGACTTAAGGGTTGAGGAAAGATTTGATACCCATCGTTTCACTTCTCTTTAGAGGAGCTAAGATGTCATTCCAATCCATTCCCAGGTTCCAAAGACAGGTTTGACTTTTATCTTCTACTTCTTGGTTTTCTCTGACAAGTCTCCTTGGATTTCCTCAGAGAGAAGCTCCTCAGAAAACATGGTTGTAATGTCTGTAACTTTTTCTCCTAATATTTTCTTCTGAAAAATTTCAAATATAAAATGTAAAGAATTTTATTCAAAACATTTGTAAACCTACTGCCTAGATTTTACCATTAATATTTTACTATTCACACAGTAGTTACAAGTTGAAAAGGTACTTTTTAGGCTACAAATATTTTAGTTGACATTTCTCAAGAAAAGGAAAACCATGAGACCAGGTTCCAGAGCTCCAAGTATTTCTCATACTTGAAAGGCTCACAGACCAACTGCACTTATTAAAATCAAGATGCAGATTTTACTTCAGTGGGTTCAGGTTGAAGCCTGTGATTTCACACGTCCTTCCTTCCAGCTTTCAGGAAGTACTGGTTTGGGCAGTTGGCCACATTGGAAGAAGGCAGTAGAGGACTGGTCTCCTGGGTATCTCAGTGCTGTCTACTTCTAGCCTGAGAACGGCCTCATGGCTATTCCCCTCCCGGATGACTGCTGCCTTGGAATGCTAATTCAGTCTTTGTGTTTGACATCATTGCTTTACTACTATACCATGGTGTTAGTAATTGGTCAGAAAACTACCTGGCTTCCATTCAATAATTTTTACATTAACACTGTGGACCTTAAAAAAAGTCTTTTGTTTTGTTTTTCTTTGCTTTGTTAGTTTTTGTTTTGTTTTTGTTTTTTTGTTTTTTTTGGCAAAGTCTTGTAGCTGAGACAAGTCCTAAACTCACTATGTAGTAGAGACTTGAACTGAACTGTATCCCCCTGGCTCTGTCCCCCCAATGCTGGGATTACAGGGATGTGCCAGCATGCCCGCTCACTTTGCTGGGTTTTTGGGTGGTTTTTTTTTTTTTGTCTTTTTGAGACAGGGTCTCCCTGTAGCCCAGCGGCCTGGGACTCGCTGTGTAGACCAGACTAGCCTCAAACTCACAGAGATCCACCTATCTCTGCCTCTCAAGAGCTGGGATTAATAAAGGTGTGTGCCACTACACCCGGCTACTTTGCTGGTTATTTTTTCAAAGGCATACAATACAGAAGTAGATTGACTTAGATTGGCCTTGTGGGCACTGTATGGGTCACCATCAGCACACGTGGGGATAAAGTACACAGGAACTTCTCAAGCAGCATTTAGCTGTTCTTATATTTATATCCTGTGTTATTAATGTCTTCAATGTATGCTGCTAAACTATAATTTAGATATTTAATTTTTCTGATTTCTTTCAGTGGACTTGTTGATTTATTTAGAAATGTATTTGCTTTGAAAAGTTTATTTCTTGAAGTTAATTTGATATTTATAAACTTACGGAAGATTCTAAAGAGCTATTCCAAGTAATTTTAGTGATTATGATATAAAGTGTCCATTGTAATAGATTTCGCATCTCCAGTTTTTGTGAAAATTCGAGGCCCTACCTTTTGCAGAGTATCTTGTTAGTCACTTTTTATTTGTGTCATTGTTATTTTTAATAAAATGTATATTTATATATAAGCACACACACACACCCTATTGTATTTTATCAGCGATCTGTTTTGTCCCCTAATTTTTGCTCTTGTTCATGAGTTTTAAAACAAAAACATCAAAAGAATTCCATTTAGGCCAAGGAGCTGAGCGCTCACTCAGAGACTCTTGGATACAGGTTAGGAACTGACTGTTTTTTTCTGCAGAAGGCCAGATAGTAAAGTGGTATTTTAAACATTATTTTCCCTAAGAACCTTATCAAAATGCAGAAGCCATTTTTAGCTTGTATGAAGTACAGAAATTGGCCAAGGGTTGTAGTAGGCTAATCTCGGAGTCTTTGTATAACTTAACTATTGATGAAACACTAGAGGTTAGACCAGACCTTCAAGCTAAACTTCACAGATTAACCTTTCCAATTTTAAAGCAAAGCTTAGTTATTTTGTGAGAGAGAAACAGAAATCTTATTCTAGTATTTTTTTTTAAGATTAGGGTTGTAGAATATATATTTTTACTAATACAGTTATTTGCTAACTTAAAAAATATACATTACCTAGCTAGTACATAATGACATTATATAAAATAGGTGTGTGTGCATGTGCGTGTGGCGGGGGGGTTGAGATAGGTGCTTGTATTGCCTAGACTGGTCTTGAACCCTGGGGCTCACTCCCTCCCCCAACCTCACCATTCCCCAGTTCCTGGGACTGAGTCATGTACCACTGTGCCTAGCTACATTTCATATTTTTTAGTCATTTCAGCCGTTATCTGAAAGAATAAAGGAGTTACATTTTTGCAAAGTCCTTATATTCTTAGTGTATTAAGGGTGCCACTTCACATTTATCTGGGTACTTGACAGCTTTTTCTGGTTCCTTTGGACGTGGTATGACAGTGTTAGAAAAGGCTATTGAAAGTGAAACACCACCATAGGAATTAGCCGTGAGTTGTCCAGGCTGCTAAAATCAGAAGCCAGGGTGAGTGGATGTCAGCTAAAGATGACAGAAACAGGGTCTGAGTGTCTGGTCCAGCTCTTGCACTCCGATGGTCTCAGTTTAAACAGTGTAAAAATTAATTTTCAGACTTAAAAATCACTCAACAGTGATTAGTTTTCCAGTTTTGTGTTAATTTCTAGATATATAAAATTAGTTGATAGAAGCCGTCTGAAAGAAAGCTTAGAAAGCTATTTTAAGAAAGCAAAACAAATTTTTAAATAGCCTCAGTTGCCATATCTCTCTTACAGTGTTTTTTTCACGAGATCAGAATTTTCAACTTTTTATGTATAAAATGGACAGTTACTGAACATTTGCTGTGTACCAATCATACACAGCCTTCCAAGTAAGAGTATTATTGCATTTCTATAGTACTTCAGATGGGTTATAGTTTGACAGGTTTCTTGAAAATCAGGCTGATTTTCAAGGTTTTTCTGAAAATCAGGACAGCACACCCAGTTTCTCCCCCAGGAGGTTGATGTTCTTGCATCTGTATGAGTTAGGGCATTTGATGTGCTATTTCCTTGACAGAATTATGCAAGAAGTTTTGCAGATTCATTAGGAACAGAATCCTTGATAAAATGTCTTCTCCTGGTGAAAGCGGATAAAGAATATGAGAAATGCGCTCTGGGCTCTGCTCTGTGCTCTCAGCCAGCTTTGAGTTGGAAGGACTGTCCATCTTTATCTAAAAAGGAATTACATAAAGCTTATATTTTTGTTTGCACATAAATATTTTCATTTGTTCTAGAGCAAATCTAGTGACATCTGAACGAGAGTAAATGTGGCAATAAGTTATGTCCTCAAGGATCAGTCACTGACTAGTTAAAGTGTTAGCATCTAGTCACAGTGGGTCTAAGTATCTTTCACCAAGAGCTTATCTTTAAGAGTTATTACAAATTTTGGAATGTGAAACCAGTATCCTCTACTATAGTTATGTACTGTATGTAGCTTTACAAACTAGGCAGCGGTGCTAGTGTGGGGCAGGCTGGGGCAGGCCAGCAGGGTGCTCCTGCCCTTGCTGTCAGTATGACCTTGAAGCACATTTTCTAGAAGTAACTAAGTCTGGAAAGGTATGGTAAATAACGTTTTTTAAATGGATTTAAATGTCATATTCTTAAAATAAGAAATGGGAGAAGTCATTCTGCAGTGACCATTCTCCTGGTGTTCAGTGTTTTGGGCACCGAGGTCTTGGTGGTGGGTAGTTGTCTCTTCTCGATCACTGGCTTCCAGTTCTCTCTGCATTGCTGGAAACACAAATCACATGCTGTGTATTGGTGATGGGTGCTCACACTCAGAGGGCACCATGATTCTAGAAGTACCTGCAATCAAAATTTGCTTCTGCTAACTTGCAGGACCCTCTTCCTTCTTCCACAGCATGCTGGCCTTTACATTGACATAACTTTATTAAGAAGCAAGAATAAACATTACAAATTTTAAGAAAATATGAGCTTTTCCCTGGTTTGTCTCTCTCTATGTAGATATATAAATATATAGATTTTAATTTCTTTCATTGGCTTTCATCTTAAAAGAAAATCATTTATGAAAATATCAAGTTATGGATCTTGCTTTACATTTTAAATGCTTTACCAAAGTCATCTAAATGTTTAAAATCACTTATTTTATATAATACAAACACTTGTGATACTTTTTAAAAGAATAGATGAATAAATGAACTTTTTCCTTAAGAATGAATGATAACCAAAATTATTAAAAATGTACGTGTAGATGCAAGTGGAACTTTATTTAAAATGCTAACATTTAGTGATTCAAAAAGAGTTGGAGCCGGGCGTGGTGGCGCACATCTTTAATCCCAGCACTCGGGAGGCAGAGGCAGGCGGATCTCTGTGAGTTCAAGGCCAACCTGGTCTACATAGTGAGTTCCAGGCCAGATGGGGCTACTGGGAGACCCTGTCTCAAAAAAAGACCAAAAAAAAAAAAAAAAAAAAAGAGAGTTGGAGAGTCTCTGTAGTTAGCATAGCTAGTCAGTTGATTTGATTGATTCTATTAAAATTAGACTGGGGGTGGGGCTGGAGAGATGGCTCAGTGGTTAAGAGCACTTGCTGCCCTTGTAGTTCCCAGCACCCAAGTTTGGTGACTCATAACTGCCAGTAACTCCAACTCCAGGGGAATCCAACACTCTTACATTTTCTTCAGGCACCTGTACACATGTGGGTGCACACAGTCACATAAGTAGTAAGTCTGAAAAATAAGGCATTCTTGGGCTATAATGCGTTTTGTTATTAGATCATTAAATAGATAACTATCACCGGATGGGATATATTACTACTAGCTTGAGGTATATATTTTAATATGTAGTCATATTACTTAAATGCCTGTTTCTTACTGAGACTTATGAATTTTAAAGTTGTGCTTTCAAAGGTAAATTACTGAACCTCGCCGAGGCAGTTCTTAATGTGCTCTTGAGATTTGTAAAACTTAATGTTCCCTAAAAATTACAGTGTCTTTCTCTTGACTGTTGTTACAGGCAGCAGATGACTTCTGCATGCAGAAATTAAGCCCTGGTTGTTGACTTATTGATGCTTAGTGGCTGATTCTCTGTGCCTGATTGAATTTAAAACTATAAGTTAGATTTTCAGTATGTTTTATCTTCTTAGGTCCTGGGTACATTTTGTCACGTTTGGTTCCATGGTAACACTGATCTTACCAATTGCAGAAAGTTAAAATGCACTAGGTCCCCTAAGTAAGCAGTTCTTACTAACGTGAAACAAAAGAAGCTTAAAGTGTAGCACAGTGAAATACGCCAGGTTTTCTAAGGACTTACATTTTTTAGAGGAATAAACATAAATATTTCATCATTAAAGTTGAATTTGCACTACAAATACGTGAAGTTTCTGGGAATTCCTCTTTTAGATGGAAGCTTCAACGTTGTCTGAAGATATTAGCATCACAGTTATAGTACTTTGTGCCTTTAGGCTATTACCTAATTTTCTGTTATGGGAAAAGTAAAATTTCTCTTTCCATAATGGCAATTGTAATTGTTACAGCTTCTTACCATAAGCTTAAACCAGACCCCCCCCCCTCAGAGTATAGAACCCCCTCAGAGTACAGGACCCTCTCAGAATACAGGACTCCCTCGGAGTATTTAAAGTAGAGCAGAAGGCACAGGGCCTGGGAGATGCTCAGGGGTTAAGAGCACTGGCTGCTCTTGGCAGAGGACCCAGGTTGTGTTTCCAGCACCCACATGGTAGCTACCAACCAGCTGTAACTCCAGTTCTGGGGATCTGACGTCCTCTTCTGGCCTTTGTGGGCATTTGCACACATGTCTTGCACTTAAGTACATGCAGGCAAAACACTCATACACATAAAAATAAAGTTTTTGAGTAGAAGGCACAGAGCAGTTTTTTCTGGGCAGTGTTCTGCAAACTGTTTTAAGGCTTACATAAGGATAGAACATGCATTGCTCCCATTTTGTATGTACAGTTTTTAAAAGCCTATGAGATTTTAATGTTTTGGTAAACAGCTCCTATTTAACTTCTGATTTATATAATGTGGTTCTCCATCCACAATGGTACCAGTCTTCAATCAGCTTGTAGACTTAGAAATTGACTAGAAAGTGTCTAATTGAAGGTGAAACTGGAGATTCAGGTGTCCCGCCTCAGCCTGGTTGGGATGTGCCTGTGGTGGTTCATGAACAAGGCTGCATGTCCCTGTGCTGCCTCTCTGCTCCCCACAGTGGGTGGAAGATGGAAGCTAGTGGGTGCAGATCACTGATTCTCCCTAAGTCAGAGGAAGAGTTTAAACCTAACTGCAGTTCAGATTTTAGTTTCACAACTAGGAAACCTAAACTATTTACTGATAGACAGATTCTAATACTTATATGTAGGCTTTTTATAATCTCCCGATTCCTAACAAAATTTTAAGCTCTTGATTCCAATAGAAAATAAAACACTTCTGAGAACAAACCAGGTTCTAGCCCATATTTTGAATCTACATCCCCACTTGTATTCACTCTGTCTGCTTTAAACATTTCTGAAAGCTCATAATCTCAAATATCTCACACGTGGCTGTCCCAGCAAGGTACTCTTCCAATGAAACAGACTTTAAAGAAGCTGTGTTTTGCAATGCAGAGAGTGGAGGATGCTTTTTATACACTGGTGAGAGAGATCCGACAATACAGATTGAAAAAAATCAGCACAGAAGAAAAGACTCCTGGCTGTGTGAAAATTAAAAAATGCATTATAATGTAATCTGGTAAGTTCGTGTCTTCCTTTGGCAGAAAGCAGGGCTCTTTCAAAGGTGTCACAGTAGCACTCAGAACTACTTAGGTGTGATATTCTGCCCTAAAGTGTTGACAGGTAAGGAACATGTGATTTGGACATAATCAGTACATTGTATTAATTCTAACTGATGCTCTTTTGATGACAGTAGGAGATTAATCTGTGTTTGTCATAGATTTAGTCACTTAGTCTTAAATCAGCCAAGCTTTTGAGAAAACAGACAACTTAGATTTATTTTTAAGAGAAATCAGACTCAAGTTTTGAGGTAATTGGTAACTTCTGAATGAGAACTGTCTAATAGGATTGAATGGCTCAGAGAGGGGAGGGGCTCTGGTACAGGGCCATGTTCTTTTCAGCTGCCCGAGCACAGTAACTCCTCTCCTCCTGTGTTCTCTAGCTCCCACCAGCACTGCACCGTCCCACTTCCTTTTCTCATACCCATTTAGGAGCCACCATCCATTGCTGATACCACATCGTAGTTCAGTCCGTTCTGGTTTCTCCTGTGTAGTTGACCTGTTGCTCTGTCATTCATGTGCTGATAGAGCTGCTTCAAAGAAATGTCAGTCACTTACTTGTAAATCCAGTCACTGAATTACATAGCGAATGCAGCCTCAGTCTGTACACATGCCCTGTATGGTCTGTAACACTCTTCCGCCTTTCCAGCCTTTTGGGGCTTTATATCTAAAACCACTATTTGCCAGAGTTTTGTCCTTATACAAACACCACATTATACCTATCTTTCCTTCAGTCTGGGCTCTTGTTTGGAATGCCAGTATTCCTATCCCTACTTTCATTAACTAGCTAACACATGGTTCTCTAATCTCTTCTCTAAGAATCTCTTCAAACCCTTAAAGAGGGCATAAGGCTCGTGTGCATTTCCAATATACTATTTTTAACACTATGTCTTCCTGTGTTACATTGAAATAATTTTATGATTAGATTTTTCAGACAATAGTATCTTAGAGAGCTGAACTATGTATTTTTGGTCTTTGCATGCTGAGGTTTTTGGCACATAGTAACTGCGTAGTAAAGATTAAGTAGAATCTGTCACTTTCCTGTCTCAATTAACCTGTATTTTGTCTAGTGCAGCAAATTCTTTACTCAGTGAGGTTGCACAAACTTCTTACCAAAGCTTACATTTTTGCTGTGTCTCACTTACAATATGTATGTTCCTTAAGAACATGAAATAAAATTATAATTCTCAAAATTACTGATATCATAAACTAACATTTAAATTTTAGGTCTAGAAGAATTAATACATCTCTGTAAAGTTCACATATCAGTGTATTAGACTTGACTGAAAAGATACATATAGAATATTAATAGATTATAATTTTCAAAATTACTAGGGTACCATAAACATTTGACTTTTAGGTCTGGAAGAATAGGTACATCTCTGTAAAGTTCACATTGTCAGCGTAGGAGACCCAGACTGAAAAGATAATGTGTAGAGTACTAATAGATTAAGCTCAAAAGAAACAAAGCATTACTTCCATTAATTTCTAATTGAGATTGAATTCATGGAATTTTTGAGTCTCACTGTGTAAAGCCATACTTTGATTTTAGAAATTGTGGTAAAATTTAGCATTAAAACACAATTTGAAAAGTTAAGCTTTTGAAGTAACTATCATGACCAGATTTCAGTGGTGGTTTTAAGTTATTTCCCTTTCTATTACCTCACTGTTAGATGATTTTTAAAAAGAGAACAGTATTTGGAGCATGTGGTATGCTTTAATTTATATTCAAAATGGAGGCAGAAGCACATACTATCCTAACATTTCTAAATTATGAAGTTTCCAGCAGGGGCTAATGTAAATGTTACATAATTGATAAGATGAATTGAATCCTTGTGATTTTGGTGGATGCCACACTTTCTATACAAAGAAAATTTTAGAAGTTAGATGAAAATGTTTTTAAATTTGACTTGATAGTGATAAATATATCCAAATAAGTTTTTCATAGTCTTATTAAAGAGGGTAGGTCTAAACAAAATAATTACCAGGGTGCAGGTAACTACTTTTGCCTTTCATCAGTTTGTGAGAATGGTTGCCATGGGAACAAGGAATCCAGCAGCCTGTCTACATTAACGATGGTGTTTCTTAATTACTGAAATAATCTAATGTAGACTCAGTGATCTTAAGCCTGTCTGATGGACTGTCAGGATCTCAGAGGAGGGCGCTTGCTGCACCTGTCTCCCTGACTTGTAGATGCTTGTCTTTGACCTTACGTGGGTTCACAGCTCTGTCTCACGGTTTTTCATTTTTCTGCTTCAGTGTTGGAGAATTGTTGGCATTTTTCTTCATTATAAAAGTCATTGAAGGGCATGGGTGGAGACTCACCATGTAACAGCGCTCGTCTCCAAGCCCGAGGACCTGAGTTTGATCCCCCAGACCCACAAAATAGAAGGAGAGAGCCAACACCTGCAAGCTGTCCTCCGACCTCCACACATGCATCATGGCATGCATATGCACATGAAAATAAACAAACATGCTCTAAAAAAAAGAATTTGAAGTAAGAGTGGATTACATAAGACTGTGATCAAAGGGAAGTCATGAGAGATGAGGGACTTACATTAAGATTCTATCCCAGGGGCTGGAGATGGCTCAGTGGTTAAGCACACTGGCTGCTCTTGAAGAAGACCTGGGTTTGGTTCCCAGCACCCACACGGTGACTAACATCTATCTGTAACTCCAGTTCCAGGGGAATCCGATGCTCTCCTCTGACCTCTGCTGGCATTGCACAACACGGGTACACTTACGTACATGCAGGCATAACACTCATATGCATAAAATAAATAAAATACTTTAAAGTAAAATATTTCTTGAAAGATTCTATCCCAGGGCCTAGGAGATGACTCTGGGTAATACTGCTTGCTGTGTGTAACAACCTGGGTTCAAATTCCTAGAACCCACATAGAAAAAAAGCTAGCCATATGCACCTGTAACCCCAGCACTGGGGGGGGGGGGCACAGAAACAGGAGGATCACTGGCACTTGCTGGCCACCAGCCTATTAGGTTCAGTAAGAGGTCATGCCTCAAGATAGCATCCAGCGTTCTCTGGCCTCCACTTATCTGCAGGAGCACAGATATACACCTGTACGCAGGTACCCACACACTCCTACACAAACATGTACAAAGAGTCCATCCCATCCCAAGGGTTATGACCCTAAGTTGTCGAGTGCTGGTGTCACACTTCACTATATTATTAGGAATTTTCCTCATTCCATGTTCAGGACATGAAGTGACTATCTTCTCTCAGTGTGTGTGTCTACGTGTCTCATTAAGCCTTGATTATGTGTCTAGTTAAGCCTTTATAAGTTATCACTTTTCCTTTCTCCTTTGGGAGAATCAAAAGCATGTTTGCATTGCATCACCAGTGATTTTCAGGAGGTGGACAGCCTCAGTGACAGCACATTGGGCATTCTGGGGAAAGTACTTACTAGTGTATTCAGATCAGTGATGCTAACTTGATCCTACCTCTGAACGTGAGCAAGCCTCGTTGCCTCTCTGCCTACCTTTTAAAAATGCTGGTCGTGCTTTCTGAATTACACATATGTTGTCAGAATTGGTTAACTCTAACTTGAAAGAAAATACTCCAGTAATTTTGTTACTTTGAAATTATTAAATATCATAGTTATAAAGTAAAGGAAAAAATCCTATCACTTAAATAATGTATTTATACATAGGGTATATAAATACATATTAGACTATCGATACAGTTTATAATACTCAATACAGATAATTGTAAGTAAAAACCCGGTATTTCACTACTCTTAAAATGGCTTGATTTATAGTTAGATTTGTTAGATGTTTGTTCCTAATACTCCCTCTAGTGTTCATGTTTGGAAGCATTATTAGGTTAAGATTTCTTTTTCATAGTCACTACTGGGATTAAACAGATTTTAAAATAAAGCAGGATTATGTTCTCTTCAGTTTCCTTTCGCTTTTTTAACACAGACATGGTGAGAGCGGACTCAGATCAGGTCTTTCATAACGAGACTGTTTTATTAAGTAGAGAGCCAGAGCGCAGGTACTGTTGGTGTGGAGATTTCTGAAGATATTTTATAGTCACATAACTTGTCTAAAGTCCAGAAACTTGGGACAATTAAGAATATATACAAAGGCACACACAACAGAGGCAGGCCTTTGGATTTGCATGCTAATAGGGAAAAATTAACAGAAAAGCAGGTATTCTTGGGAGAAAGTTACTTGTTAAGCTTATGCAAGATTTCTTTGCCCTGTGTCACTGCCTATTGCGCAAGCCAGAGTTCCTGCGTAGAATGTCAAGACATCCATAAAGGCTGTACTTACCCCTCAGTCTGCTGTATGCAGTCAGCTGCTGGAGGGTAGAGACTGAATGACTCTGAATTGATGTTTCCATAAACAGCGGAGGGCTATCTGGGTAAGCCAGCGCGTACGTTAACATTTTGATTCTTCTATATTTCAGGGTGTCGATGATGCCTTCTATACATTAGTTCGAGAAATTCGAAAACATAAAGAAAAGATGAGCAAAGATGGTAAAAAGAAGAAAAAGAAGTCAAAGACAAAGTGTATAATTATGTAAATACAATTTATACTTTTTTCTTAAGGAAAACTTAAGTAAAAGTGATAATTTTTGTACATTACACTAAATTATTAGCATTTGTTTTAGCATTACCTAATTTTTTTTTCTGTTCATGCAAACTGTCAGCTTTTATCTTAAATGCTTATTTTAAAATGACAGTGGAAACCTCTTTTTCTTCCAAGTGCCAGTGTTCCCGGAGTTTTGGTTTTAAACTGGCAATGCCTGTGAAGAAGGAACAAGGCCAGGACTGTCTTGGGGCTTTGGTGCATGCAGTTGATTACATCTTCATTTTCTTACAATTGTGACTGTTAGTGTGAAACAAAATAACGAAGCTTTTGAATCATCCCTACTGTGTGTTTTATCTAGTCACATAAATGGATTTAACTAGTAATTACAGCTTCTGTTGAGACATTATGGTTGTTTTTTCTGAGACACTGAGGGGTTGCGATTCATGGGCTTCTTTTTGATTTCACTGCTGGCATGCCCTGTGGTTCGCCACCTTCATAGATGTACAGATGTGCTGTTCACAGAGGGCTTCTTTCTTTCCACTGCTATTATCCTGCCACTTACAGAAATACTATATTTTTTCTATAAAAAAGGGGAAAAATGGAAAAAAAAAAAAAAGGCAATGGAAACTAGTAAAAGGCCATTGAATTTCCATGTTAGCTAAATTACTGTAAGCTTTTCCTGTTAGGGCAGCCTCAAATGAAGTAGTAACCATTTGGGGCTGTATTTACATGCTACTAAATTTTTAGAATTACTGAAACATATATAAAACATTTTCATAGGGATTAAATATAACCCCCCCGGCCCATGTCAGAAGCTCACTCTTAGCACAACTTTTCTTTCTTGAACTTAAGTCTTTGAAAATAGCTTTTATTCTGGTTGTGAAGTTGAACATGAGGTGAGCCAGTTGTCCCTTAGTAGGTGTTGAGGAGACCAAGGTTGGGAACCTGTGATGAGTTTCACTGGGTTTTCTAGCACATCCTGCATGCAGCATGGCCATGTAGTGCTTGGTCAAAATGGGAGACCAGGAAAGAGTTTGGACAGCTCAGAAAGATGCATTCTCACCATGTGCTAGTCCTACGGACAAATCAAGACACGACTTGTAATTTAAAAAAAAACAAAAAACACAGAACTTAAAACACTTTGTACATGTTTTAAGCTTAAAAGTTGAGATTTGGGGGCAGGAGGCTACGACAGTAAATCTAAAACCATGAAGTGAGAGAATTTGAAAGACGTTTGGCAGTCTCTCAACTCTGGCTGAAGAAACCTTTCATAAATACTTATTGAATCTGACCCATATTGAAGAATGTCTAATGGTTTAAGAATGGCTAACATGAAGAGCAGTTTTGGGTGCATTTATAAGTATCACTTCAAATACTGAAGTAGGTGATGTAGTGAGAGTAAAAGTACCACTGGACTGGGAGAAGGTGGCAAGTACTGGGTATCTATTAGAAGTCTGACTTTAGGCAAATCACTGTCTCCTTCATGTTAAATCATCTCAAAGGCTTTCTAACTTCACAGCTATGCAATTTATATTCAGTTTACATAGATAGATCTAGTTGTCAAGCTCAGCACAATCTGTAATGTTTTTACGTGCATTATCATCTTCAATGCCAGTCTTGGGCAAAATTGTGCAAGAGGTGAAGTTTGTATTCGAGTTACTCTCCAGTTTCAGGACTCCTTCCAACATTCATGTCACTTTGCCTGCCTGACCATCCACATGCCCCATGACTTGGTGTAATTTTAATACTTTAGTCTCTCCCACCTCAAGTTTTATTGCTGCTACGGACGCCTCCGTGAAGGTTGCCCACGAAGGTACATAGCATTGCCTTGCATGTTTCTTAAGATAGTCTGACAGATACTGTAAGGGGATTTGAACTAATAGCTAAAGTTCAGGTGGTAGCTATAACAATTTAATCTTTGACCCTCATCTCTTTGCTACCTGGGCCACTGGTGACTAAGTAGGAGTTTCAGAGTCAGTGTCAATACGTAGAACTGTCCAGTAGAAGAATTTAATGCAGTGCTGAATCTACATTTAGGGCTTACCCTGGTAACAGTGACATATTCCACTCTTTAAATAAGTAAAATCCCCCAATGAAAAACCCTTTAAAGTTTAAATCATAAAGTTGACCTTTTAAAGTAAAATTTATTTACTAGGCATTTATTCAGTGCCTGTCATGCGAGCCACTACACCACACAGTGGGACATGGTATCCCCAAAGGGACATAATCCTTCGGCACTGCTAGAGTGGTCTGTAATATCCTAGTAAGGTATATGGCGCATGACCTAGATATAATGGAGTACATATTTTAGTTTTGCAGGGGGGGGGGGTTCTCTTGGTTAGGGAAAAATTGTTTTGCTTTGTTTCCAGGGCAACTTTTAAATATATATCTTTTATATTTTTTTTTATTTTTATATGTAGTACATATTTTAGGTTTTCAGGGGGGGGGGGTTCTCCTAGTTCAGGAATAATTATTTTGCTTTGATTCCAGTGCAACTCTTTAATCAATCTACTTTATATGTTACTTCATTTTTCTAAAGGAATAGAAGTTCTCTAGTTTTCTCCTTCTATAAAAAGTTTTTGAAAACTAAATACTGACTTCTAAAATAGTCTTATTTGGGTACGAACAAACAGGAACCTGAGCTAATTTGTAGAAAAGGAAACTGTACAAAAATCTCTGAAAATGCTCTCCTACACCATAAGCGTTTATAGAACATTCTTTGGTTGGCATTACAGCTCCAGCAGTCAATACCTCTTGTTTCTGTACAGAAAGAAATGGGCATACTCCAGGAACTGCAGTGCACAGTTGGACATTTATTAAGGACTGATGAGTTTTTGATGTTGCTGGGCAATTTGTTTAAAGTAGTGATAATGTCATTCTGTGAATTTGAACTATTAGCCTTTTGTTAACAAAAGGTTTTTGTAGAGTTTTTTTAAGGGCGCGAACCCTAGAAGTGAGCAGAAGTGTTCTCTAATTGCTGCAGCCTTCAAGATGAGATCCTTGTTGGCGATGAGAGCTGTGCTAAATTACATAGTCTTAGGCATAATCTGTTTATGGGAAGAACATAGCAGAGAAATGTAATTGGAGTAAATACTCGTTAGGAGTCCTAGGCTCATTTGACTGAGTCACACTGCATAGGCATTTAGACCCTAACTTTATAGGTCATCAAGACCTTTGCCACCATTGCACAATTTTGTCCTAATACTTAACACAAGCTCTGTGAGGCATGTTAAGTTACAGTTTGCACAAATTCATCTCGTGTCCTCCACTGATTTTTTTTCTTCTATTTTTCAAATACACGTTGGGGGGAGTGGTAGGCAACAAAAATTAATTTCCTTTGGTTAAAAAGTAGTAGTTTCTTGATAATTGTGTAGTAATTATTTAAGCCCCAGCAGTTACTTTCAGACTAAATTTGTACTTCATTTCTGTGTAGATTGGGTAGCATGGGCTTTAGGAAGAGGAGTAGCATGTACCGGGTGGTGTCAAATCCTGTCAAAACATGAAGATCATTACTGAAAATGCATTAGTTCTCAGTGCTCTTTACATTCAGGTTTGTGTTTTAGTTCAATAGTTTAAAGTGCCTGTTTGGGACGGTGATAAGGCATTTTACATGAGTTTAGGAAAAATAAAATTATTTACAGAAAATGTCAATTTCGTAGGGCCCGCCCCACCCCCGAGCCTACGTGATTATGTTTTGTCTCAAGAGTTTCCAGTTCCACTGTCTTGGGTTTTCATGTTGAAAATACTTCTGCGTTTTTCCTTTGAGTGCCAATTTCTTACTAGTACTATTTCTTAATGTAACATGTTTACCTGGAATGTATTTTAACTATTTTTGTACAGTGTAAACTGAAACATGCACATTTTGTACATTGTGCTTTTTTGTGTGTGGGACATATGCAGTGTGATCCAGTTGTTTTCCATCCTTTGGTTGCGCTGACCTAGGGAATGTTGGTCATATCAAACATTAAATTTAAAATGACCACTCTTTTAATTAACTTTTAAATGTTTATAGGAGTATGTGCTGTGAAGTGATCTGAAATTTGTAATATTTTTGTCATGAACTGTACTGCTCCTACTTACTGTAATGTAATAAAAGTTATGGTGACTATGGCAACTCTGTACTTGACTTTTCATCCTGGTTCTGAGAATCACATCCAGGTCCTCGCCTTAGGCAAGCATTCTGTCACTGAGCCACGTTCCCCCGTCCTGGATACGTACTTCACGGTGGAGATCTGAAACATCTGCCCCTTAATTGATATTAAATCCTTCAAGCCAGATTTTTTTTTGCCGCTTTTAAGTTAGAAATGCTTTTTATTTATAAAAGTTGCTAAGAACATTATGTACAAGTTTAAATGTTTGCTAAACTTAGTCATGGCAGGGTGAGGTCCATTGCTATATGACCTCAGTCACAAGTAGATGTAAGACAAATCTGGTTTTATGACAAAAATAGTAAGTAACATCATTATTTGTATGAAAGTTAATCAGAGCCCAATTTAAGGCTTAAAGAAGCCAGCAGCAAAAGTATGTTGGAAATAATGCTAACCATCGGCGGGGTATTCCCAGGTCAGAAGCTATACCTTTTTATTATTTTACTAACTGCACTTAAATCATTTTGTGGAGCTATTTTCAAAGATCCTTGAATATGTATCGCAGTATACTAAAATGGAGTTTAAAAAGGCACTTCAGAAGTTATTTTGCTTATTAAACGGCATCCTCGTCAGTAAAAACAGAAATAAGCTAAGAAACAGTAAGTTTGAAAACTAGGTGTATTTTCTTTCATTAACTTAAAGTGTTAATATAGTTAAATCACTATTTCAGGAATAAAATCAAGCACAAAGGACTGTGTGTAAAGCTTTCCGTGTCGACGAGGCAGAAACCTGTCTTAGTTCAGCGAAGCAGCAGCTGAGGCACTTTTTAAAGGCGTATATTGCCATTTTGAACTGGCACTCTCGTATTACTTGGCACACAAATGGCTGGCACCGGCTTTAAGCCAGGCTTTCTTGATCATCAGTTGTTGGGGTCTGAATAATAGCGTTGTTTCATGGCTCTGTATTTCCTAAGGAAGTATAAGGCTTCCAGCTCTTTCATCACGAATTTGCCCCGTGCAATGAGCTCTTTGATCTTCTCTGGGTCCTTCACATCTTTGTTTTTAAGGAAGACATTCTTCAAACGCTTTTTAAAATAGTCTTCTCCTTTTGGGTAGTCCCGTCCGAGATACAGCAGCTTTAAAAAGAAAGATGCCTTGCTGAACAACCCATGTCATATAACAACAGGTTAGAATGTTGGCAACATCATTACTTACATTTTTATAAAGATTCAGTACTTCTCCTCTTAAAGAACTGGCCATTTTCATTCAACATGGAATCAGGCCACCTTTATACAGAACATACCTAAAGAAAAGGGAGATTGTTGTTGCATTTTTGCAGATAACTCCTTTGTGATCTTAGTCAACGATGTTATACAGCAGGAAATGGTAAACTTAAAATTCTTTGTGTACAGGCGTGTGCTTGTCACAGTGTGGACAGAGGCCCTCAGGTATCAGACCTCCTTATTTAGGATGGGCTCTCCTTGCTGCTGTGAACCACAGGCTGGCTGGTCTGAGAACTTCCAGGTTCTCAGGGCCTACCTACTACAGCCATCGCCTCTCCCTTTTCCTTTTATTTTATATCCCTTTCCTAAAGATTTGGAGAAATTCTGGGAGCAAGATGGGTGTATTTAACCCACTGCATTAACTAGTGTTTACTTTTAACACAATTTTTTTTAGCAGCCTCCTTGCCAGTGTGGTCCCTCTTATTGAGGAGTGACTGTTAATCCTATGTGCTTTTCAAATAATTCAGAAGCAAGTTTATATAGAGCAAAGTATAGCCTGTTTGATGTCTAGCAAAGGGCACAGCTTCAACATTGTATGTGTGAGCTTTTGTCCTTTTCAGTAGCTGACCTTTAAAAAAAGTTAGGATAATGAAAAAATTGCCTAGTAAAAATGTAGTATGGCCAAGATAGATCTGTCTGGTTCTTTCCTGTTATCGTATACCAATGAAGGCAGGTTTTTCTTCAGTATGGTTCAGCTGACCTTCAGGAATTTATTTTAGCCACGGGAAAAACGAATGTCCTTAAGATTTCGAATTTAGGGAACAATTTAAGTGCAGCAGAAACCTGCTTGTAGTCATGGAAGTTACCAAAGCAGATGAGGGAGTAAGCCCATTCCTCTGAGAACGTACGTGTGTGGGTGTGTGTGTGGGTGTGTGGGCTGTCAGAAGTAGGACGCTGCCCTTTCCTACACCAGGAGTTGGTGCTGCTGACGTTCTGTCCCCTGAAGTCATAAGACGCAGTAAAAGGTGAAAAAGGCAACAGGTCGAGGTCTAGCACACTTGACTCAATCACTAGTTCCTCAAACTAGGTCTGGAAAGCTCACCGGATGTCATCCCAACATTTTCCAGTACCGGAAGCTGTGAAATCAGAGATTAGCGGTGGGAGCCTGCCCCACAGGCTTGCACACGCCCTGCACAGGCCAGGCGGGCAGACTATGGTTACAGGAAAGGCGATGGATGTGCAGAGGCGGGCGGGCTAGCCTTGTCTGAAGGGCCAGGAACAGGCCTTGCCATTGGCCAGGCTGTACAGGGAGCACTGGAGTAAACCGCCTCAGTCCAGGACCTAGGACACGGGGCTGGCCTGGGGTCTAACCTGCTCCACAGCTCCTCTTCCTTAGGGACTACCGGTAAGTCTGAGGAATGCGGGGTTTCCATGACACCGCGGTACCCCATCCATCCTAGCTGGGACTGAGGTTTCCCGTCAGCACCGCAGGACAGTGACCGCCACCCCGCCTAGTAGAGCAACTACAAACGAAAGCTTTGGTAAGTTCAGTTAGAACCTAGGAAGGCTCTTCTCACTCCCAGGGTCTGGAGGGAGGTGGAAGTCCTAACTAACCCAAACCTGCTGTCAGTACTTACGACACAACACTTAGTCACAGAGATCGCCTCGAGGTGCTGCATCCTGTCATGCTTAGTGGGTCCGACTAGTCCCAAACGAGATTTCAGCGGGAGCTGGGACCCACAACAGTCCAAGCCCATGGGTTCTTCACACCGGAAGCCCTGGAACTGCTGAACTGCGCCGCCTGGAGGACCAGAGACCTTGACCTTGGACCGGCCACGCCTCCCGGACTTCGGCAGCCTACGTCGGTGGGGAGTATTTAGCCCCAATCACCTGCCACTCGGCTGTCCTTGGACGGCTGGGCAGAACCGGGCCGGGTGGGGAGCTCCCGGGAACGACCCTGGGCATCCGCTGCCCCCGGGGCTGCTGCAGGACGTGGCCCGAGGTCGCGGCGGCCCCCGCTCCGCACACCCGCTCCCGCTCCCGCCCGGGGCCTCACCCTGCCGCCGGCGACCGCCGTAAAGCACCGGCTCTGGGCTCCGCGCGGCGGGACCCAGCGGGCCGGAAGTGGGGGGGCGCGGACGGGAGCGCCTTCCTGCGACTGCGCGGGCCGGCCTGCCCCGAGGGCGGGGCGCGTGGTGGGCGGGGCCTGTCGTCCAGACAACCGGGAGCGTTCCCGCAAGCCCCGGAGCTCGCCCTGGACGTGGAGGTCCCGCCGGCCTCATGGTAAGCGGGGCAGGGGGAGGCCGGGCGGGGAGCGCGGGCGGTGCTGGGTGCTCGGTCCCTGCAGACCGAAGGAAGGAAAGGAGCCCGCAGACTGCAGGGAACGGCCAGGACAGGGGGCGCCCGGACCCTTGTGCAGTCAGGACTCTCCTGGGTGGGTGGATCAAAGCTGAGCAGGGCAGGAGGTGGGCGCCCCAAACCCCTTTCTGCAAAGGGCGATGGCCGGAATCGTAGCATGGCTGCTAAACTCCCTGTTCTGAACTTGAAACTTGGTCCTAGCCTAGTAACGTCCTTAGACTTCCCCGCTGCTCTCAACAACCTGGCACAGATGTCTTCACACCAGCAGTTAATTAAAAGCTGATGGCTTGCTGCTTTTGCAATTATTTTGTGTGATCCTCTGTAGAAACTTGGGTTGCTTTTTGAGGGTTGCTTTTTGATTCCTGGTAGTCAGCCCGCATTCATTAAATAGAATAAAGCTTGTTGTTTTCCTGTGTTCCAACTGTCACATATACCAAGGCGACCCCCCCCCAACATGTAACTAACCAACATGTATTGTTTCCCATTTTCTTAAATGTGACTTCCATCCACAGATCGCCCATGATTTCAATCAGTGGAAGTGCAGCAAGCAGTTACTCCGTTGATTATTTAATGCATTATTAGTTAAGGGAAATGCAGGGGTGCTGGGCCGGCAGCCAAAGATAGACAGGTGAATTTAATAGCCATACTGAGGACAGATCAAGCAAAGTTAACTGCAACATAGCTTACAACTGTCACAGCTGACGCATCTGAAGTGGAATAAACCAAGTTGGAAATTATTAACTTGTGGGGAGAGAAAAGAAGGAAAAAGGGGGTGCTTTGCACCCTCTCTTGAAACATAAATATGAATTTTCTACACCTGATGGGAAGTAGGCAGTGGAGAACATTTCCGGCGTGAAGCCAACAGTCTTTAAGCCAGTTGTGGCTGACAGGTGCTTGTTTGTTCCACGTAAATGAGTGCTTGAATTTCTTTTTCCTAGATCTAGCAACGGTCCTTAAAGTGTAACCTTGCAACTTTTGCTTCTAATCCACGTCAAATACTTGTTTAAAAAATAGATTCTGAGAACTCACCTTCAAATCTGTACTACAGGGTTAACAGAATAAAAGTGCTGGGAACGTCCTGCCCCACAGTCCTGGACTCTGGACATCTAAAATCAAGCTGTCAGCCTAGGGAGCGATTTCTTGAGGTCTATTTTACCATCTACTAGCGCCTTGGTGTGTGGCAGTGTGGCCTCATTTCTCACATATTTTTTCTCTTTGTGAGTGTCTGTATCCAAGTTTCTTCTTTGCGTAAAGAAGGGTTCCAGTGGGAGACTACTTTTTAAAACATCTCTTTAGAGTAATTTTAGATTTACTGGAAATTTGCAAAAATAGTACAGAGAAGCTTCCCTTAGGCCCTTGACCCAGCTTCTCTTAATATTTTATGTAATCGTGGTACTTTGTTGAAAGTATCTGAATCCTTTTTAAAATTTGTCAATTCTTTTGTTTTCCAACTTTTAGGGTCCCAAATCAAAAAAGGTACGTAGAAATCATTTTCTCAAAATAGTTTTATGAACATACTGTACAAGGTAAATTCTTAGGGAATTTTAAATTTTTCTAGTAAGTTTTATAGTTTATAGAATGTATTAAGCTTACCTTTTAGAGGCTAATGCTATTTAAGTCATGGGATAATTATTTACAATTACTGATAAATTTCAAACTTGATAGTATTTATGGTTTGAAAAAGACACACTTAAAAATATTCTTTATGGGTTAGAGAGATGGCTCAGAGGTTAAGAGCACTAGCTGCTCTTGCAGAAGACCAGAGTTTGCTTCTCAGCACCTACATGGCAGCGAACAACCATCTTTAAGTCCAATTCCAGGGGATCTGTGCTGGATAGCATTAGTTATCAACTCGACACACCTAGATAGATCCTCAACTGAGGAATTTCCTCCATTGGATTGGCCTGTGGCCATGTCTGTGGGGCATTTTCTTGATTGTTGAGTGTTGTGGGAGGATCTAACTCACTGTGGGTGGTGCCACTCTGAGCAGGTGATACTGGGTTGTATAAGAAAGCAGACTAAGCACAGGCTAAGCATGAAAGCCAGTAAGCAGCACTCGTCCGTGGTCTGTGCTCCAGGTTCCTCCATTGGCCTCCCTTGATGATGGACTGTGAGCTGTAAGTCAAATAAACCCTTTCCTCCTCAAGTATGTTTTGGCCAATTTAAAAAAAAATTATTTTTATGTGTATGAATGTATTGCTTGCATGTATGTAAGTGCATTCATATCTTTCAGTGCCCATGGAAGTCAGAAGAGGCCATCAAAGTCTCCTAGAACTGAGTTAGAGACAGTTGTTAGCCACCATGTGGGGTTTGGGACTTGAACCCGGGTCCTATGCAAGGACAGCCAGTGCTCTTAACTGCTGAGCCATCTCTCCAGCTCTTGGTCTGTTTTTATCACAGCAATTGAAAGCAAACTAAGACAGGATCCGATATCCTCTTCTGGCCTCTGTGGGCTCCTGCATGCGTGTGGTGGACATATGTTCACATAGACGCACATACATACACATAAAAATAGGTAATCTTTAGAAAAGATAGCCTTTAGTTTTGACTTATATTTGGATTTGAGGCTTTTTTTCCTATTCACTTCTGTATGAAATGTTGGACTAGGAATGCCTTCATTCTAGATACACAAAAATGGCATCACATTTTTGCTTACATTGGAGTTGAATAAATGCTGTGTCCGCCACATACTCTTCCCTCTTTGTAGACTTGTGTGTTCAGATAGAGATTTTAATCTCTTGAATGACAGTCCAGGTTAGGTGACAACAGATTTGGTTTTGCCTGAAAAAAAAAAAAAAAAGGTTTCTTTTTTTATTTTACTTAAAAATTTTTTTAATTAAATTTTTGTGTATTTCATAGAGAACCTCTTAATCATCTTTATACCCCTTTCCCCATTGACCTCCTCCCATAGCCCCGTCCCGAGTGGAATTCATACATTCTGTCATTTGTGTTAAAGCCTATCATGTCAATGTTTCCTTAAAAAAAAAAATCATTTGTCAAGTGGGGCATGGTGGCTCACATCTGTGTTCAGTACAGAAAAGGTTGAAGTGGGAGGGTCATGAGTTTGAGGCCAGCCCAGTCCACATTGGTACATAGTTAGCAATATATAGCAAGACAGTGGCTCAAAAACAAAAAATGAAGTAACTGTTGGGCATGGTGGAGCTCACTTTTAAGGCCAGCACTCGGGGGTGGGTAGAGAGCAGAGGCAGGCAGATCTTTGTGAGTTGGAGGCCGGCCTGGTCTACATAGTGAGTTCCAGGCTAGCCAGTGCTTCTTAGTAAGACCCTGTCTCAAAACAAAAACAAATAAAATGCAATAAAAACTTTAAAAAGAAGAAAGCCAGGCATGGTGGCACATACCTTTAATCCCAGCACTCAGGAGGCAGAACCAGGCAGATCTCTGAGTTTTAGGCCAGCCTGGTCAGCCTGGTCTACATATTGAGTTTCAGGCTAGCTGGGGCTAAAGGGAAACCCTGTCTCAAAAAGACCTAAATAAATAAATAAATAAATAAATAAATAAATAAAATTAAAAAGCAGTTGCCCCCCCCCATTTGGTTTGCATTAATCATGAAATATCAAAAATCATCATGTGGCTTCTCAGGAATCAAAGCCATCTTGAGTTTGCTATAGTCTTGACCCGTGGTCAAAACTTACGTTATTTACTTCCCTGGTCATAGCAGAGACTTCGGTTGAAATGTCTGCTTTAAGCCATATCTCAGGGGTCTGCTCTCCATAAATAGTCCAGCCATGCTCTTGCCGAATCAGTTATGCCCCCCGCCCCATCTGTGGGTTCTGCATCTGTGAATTAAACATAGATTTGAAATCCTGGTAAGGGTTGTAACCAGAAAGCTGGCCATGGTGGTGCTCTTTCACAATCCCAGCACTTGGAAGGCTGCGGCAGGTGGATCATGGGTTCTGATCCAGCTTGGGCTTCACAGGAAGACTTCCTGTCATCCCCTGAAGATACAGTAAAGTAGTTGTTTACATCAGGTATCATGAGTAATCTGGAGCTGGCCTACATGTGTGGGAGGATGCATGGGCTACCTGGAAACACTTGCCACCAGGACCTGTGCATCTGTGACCTTTGGTTTCCACAGCAGTTCTGGAGTTTGTCTCAGGCCCGCGTCAGACAGCTATGTACTGTGTTGTCAAAACACGTGTTAGTGTGCACCTCAAGTCTAAAGTTTGCTGTAAATATGTATTTTTATTTTTGAATTTTATTTAATGTATGTGTACGCTCATGCCATGACACACGTGTGATGGAGGACAGCTTGCTGAATTCAGTTCTTTCCTCCTCCCAGGTGGCTCCTGGGAACTGAACTTGGGTCTCCAGGCTAGGTGGCATCCAGGCTAGGTCAGCCATCTTGCTGACCCATCATTTTTAATCTGAGTTATTTAAGATCAGGGGCATGTCACTTGTTTTAACTTATTGCAGTACTGGGAATTGAACCTCAGGCCTTGTGTATGTGAGGCCAATGCCCAGTCACTGAGTTCTATTCCAGTCCTCCTGTCGTTTAGTTTTGTGTCTGTAACATTTAGTGCAGTACCTGGAATATAGTGAAAATTCAGTGTTTGGTGAATCTGCAAACACTTGGGCTCTTGATGACTCAGGAGAAATGCATGTAAATGTGAGCTCACTACTTACACAGTTAAACATTCTTCAGTAAATAGGGTTGTGGTGCTGGAGAAAGGGCTCAGTGGTTGAGAGTGTCTACTGCTCTTCCAGAGGATCCAGGTATTCCCAGTACCCACATCTGGTGGCTCACGACTACCTGTAACTCCAGTTCCAGGGGCTCTGACGCCCTCTTCTGGCCTTCATAGCACCTGCATGCATGTGATGTGCATACAGACATGCACACACATACACAGAAATAAAAATAAATCTTCAAAAGTATGGTTGTGTCCCTTCAGTGTTTGCATAGTCAC